GCTATACAGAAAAAATTGTTTTTTATCTATTTTATATATAATAGTTCATATTTGCAAATCTTAAACTCCCAATTTATCCCTTCCCACCCCCTGGTAACCGTAAGTTTGTTTACTATGTCTGTGAGTCTATTCCATTTTGTAGATAAGTTCATTAGAGTCTTCTTTCTTTTTTTTTTTCATATCCCACATATATGCCTCACTCTTTATCATTTCTGAAAGCTTACCTTATCATCCCCTCTTCTAGGAAACCCTCTCCCACTCCCACCAGCAAGCTAAGTTAGGTGTCCTTATCTGTACTCCCATTTCTCTGTATGTAACAATACAGACTCATTCATTTTCTGTTTTTGTTTGTTTGTTTGTTTCTTCAAGGAAAATATCAGTTCATCTCATACCACCAGTGCCTCAAAAGGACCTGCCACATAGTAAGCCCTCAAGAGAAGTAACAGATGAGTAAATGAATAAAATGAGCCTCAATTCTGGAAAGTCTGGCTTGATATTTTCTTGTCTCTTCTATCAACAGCTCTTGTGTAGAAGTTAAGAGTATAGGCTCTGATGCCAGACTTCCTAGGTCCATATCCCATCTCTGCCTGATTTCTTAGCTGTGTGAACTTGAGTAAGTTTACTTAAAAATCTCTCTACCTCAGTTTCCTCATCAGTCGATGACATAATGATGATACATCCCTGAGAGAGTTGTTGTGGGCATTAAGTGCTTAATGTCTGGCACTGAGAGAGGGCTCCATAAATGTTTGCTGTTACTATCATCAACTATCTAAACTGCCACCAAAAAACTTTTGTAGATTCAAGTGTGTTTTCATGAGCAATGCATTCTGCAGGAATGGTTAGTGCTCATGGCAGTCATTGACCCTTAAGAGAGATTCATGTGGTCTTTGCCTAGTAGTGCTTCCATTATGTGCCCTAAGAGATTAGTAATCTAAGAGTATCTGGGGATTGAGGAATAGGTTAGAAGCTTCACCAGAGGATGCTTTCTGTGGCAAGAGATTGTGTTTATCTTATTTTGATTGTATTTGATTTTGATGAATGAGTGAGCATTTTGGTGAGAGGTAAAGGCTTGTTGTTGAGGGGATTAGATGCGTGATTCCCTGGAGTCTCAGCATCTCAGCCTTGAGGGGTTGTTGGTGGCAAGGTTAGTGGCCAGAAACTATCTCTTTAAAAGCACAGGGCTGGACAAGAGCTTTTGCAGAAACTGAAACACTGCTTCTAAAATTTAAATGAAAGTGCAAAAGACAGAATAGCCAAAACAATTTTAATAAAAGAACAAAGTTGGAGGACTTTGATTTCCCAATTTCAAAACTTACTATAAAGCGACTGTCAAGACAGTGTGATATTGGGAGAAGGATAGACATAAAGATCAATAGAATAGAATTGAGAGTCCAGAAATAATTCTTTATATTTATATTCAATTGATTGTTGACAAGAGTGCTAAGGCAATTCATTGGAGAAAGGATACGCTTTCTAACAAATGATGCTGGGACAACTAGATGTCTACATGCAAAAAGATGAACTTCGATGCTTACCTTATACCATACATAAAAATGAACTCAAAATGGATCATAGACTTAAATATAAGAGCTAAAACAATTAAACTATTAGAAAAAGAAAATAGAAAATCTTCAAGACCTTAGGTTAGGCAAAGATTTCTTAAGTATATGAACAAAACTACAGTCTTGGAAAGAAGAAAATTGATACATTGGACCTCACTTCATCAAAATTAAAAATGTTTGTACTTCAAAATACAGCATAAGGAAAATGAAAAGACAAGCAGCAGACTGGGAGAAAATACTTGCAAATCACATTATCTGGTAAAGAATTTGTACTGAGACAATACACTCCTACACCTCAACAATAAGACACACACACACACACAAACCCTGTTTTTAAAATGGACAAAATATTTGAATAGAAATTTTTATCAAAAATGTCATTCTAAGTGAAGTAAGCCAGAAAGAGAAAGAAAAATACCATATGAGATCACTCATATGTGGAATTAGAAAAAAAAAAACATAAATACAAAACAGAAAAAGACTCATAGACATAGAATACTAACTTGTGGTTGCCAAGGTGGTGAGGGGTGGGAAGGGACAGACTGGGATTTCAAAATTTGTAGATACTGACAGGCATATATAGAATAGATAAACAAGATTATACTGTATAGCACAGGGAAATATATACAAGATCTTGTGGTGGCTCACAGCGAAAAAAAATGTGACAATATATGTTTGTTCATGTATAACTAAAACATTGTGCTCTACACTGGAATTTGACACAACATTGTAAAATGACTATAACTCAAAAAAAGAAAACAAATTTTATCCAAAAAAAAAAGATGTATCAGTGACTAATAAGCACATGAAAAGTTAGTCAATGTCATTAGTCATCAGGGAAATGCAAATTAAAACCACGATGAGATACCATTTCATACCCACTAAAATGGTTATACTAAAAAAAGACAGACAACAAATATTGGTGAGGATGTCAGAAATGGTAACCCTCATACATTCTAGTGGGATTGTAAAATAGTGCTGCCACTTTGTAAAATAATCTGGTAGTTTCTTAAAAGGTTAAATCCACCGATTCCACTCATAGATATTTCCCCAAGAGAAATGAAAAGATAGGTCCACAGAAAGATTTGCACACAAATGTTCTTAACAGCTTTATTCATAATAGCCAGAGATTGGAAGTAACCTAAATGTCCACCAACAGGTCCATGGTTAGACACAGTGTGGTATGTTCATACACTGAAATATTTCGCAGAAAGCAAAAAAGGAGGAACAAACCACTGATACAAATTGTGACATGGACAAACCTGAAAATCATTATGTGAAATGGAAGAAGCCAGACACAAGAGACCATATATTGTGTGGTATACAGTGTGTTGATTTCGTTTATATGAAATGTCCAGTAAAGGCAAACCTATAAAGACAGAAAGACTGATGATTGCCTGAGGCAGTGTGGGGGCTGGGAGATGGGGATTAACAGTGAATATGAGGGAACTTATTGGGGTGATAGAAATGTTCTATCTGCTTTATGTTTTATGGTGATGCTTGCACAACATGATAAATTTACTAAAAATCTCTGATTGTCCACTTGAAATGCAAATATGATATGCAAAATATAGTTCAGTAAGGTTGGAGGAGGTAGTAGGGTAGAGGTGGGGGTGAGGAGAAGGGAGTGGGGAGGGAGAGAAAGAGAATGAGAACAGTGCTGGCTGGCTCCAGACTGTTTGGATCTGAAACCCTGCAAGTCTAACCCCTCTTTGCCTCAGTTTCCTGTCAGTGAAGTTGGGGAAAATAAGTAACTACCCACAAAGCAGTGTTGGAAAGATTGTGATAACACATAAACAATGCTTAACATGGAGTTTGGACCTTAAAGAGAGCTCAGTAAGTATTAGCCATAATAATAACAATAATGGTTATTATTGGTGGTGGTATTTAACCTACCAAGGATCCAGCTCTGATTTAGATCAACTTAATTCAAGTCCTGGAGAAGGATTTAGACTGTGCCTTGCAGATGTCAGTGACTGGTCTGTGGAGATGACTCCCTGGAGCCTGAGAAGCTGAAGCATGGGACTTGTCAGTCGTTGCAGGCCAGGGGCTTGGAGCACTGGAGCCTCACAGATGAAGGCTGTCTCTTCACGGCAGCATCATTTATGGCGGGGGCATCCTGCTGCCCATAAATATGGGAGCAACATGTGATATTTCTACTCTGTCCGACAACAATTTATGTTATACCACTACACGCCAGGTCCTATTGGCTCAGAGGACAGGGGAATTTGGGGGCTCAGAGGAGGGACATGTAACCTTGTATATGAGGGTTTCTAAAGAAACCCTTGTCTTTATGAGACTTATGAATCCCTCGACACTTCCCAGATGAAGGGTGAGGAGATTTATCAGGGCAGAGGGTACAAACTGAATAAACCCCAGAGGTGATAGGGAGTTTACTGAATTCAGTGAAGTGCTAATATGAAGAGCAGAGTGACAAGAAACAAGGCTGAGGTCCCATGGAGGGCCTTGTGTGCTGTGATAAAGAACTTGGATTTATCCCGAGGACAGTGAGGACCAGTGAAGAGTGCTAAGAGTTCTAGGACAGGCTCAGTTATCTTCGGTTCCATGGTCCCACTGGCACTTGCACATCACAACTTGAGTGGTCCTGCTCTGTGGTCAGGAGCAGATAAATGCCCTCCTAGAGGTTTATGGCCTGGGTTTTGCATTTAGCCGCCTTCAAGTGCAAGTGTTCCTCCAAGGACCACATCCATACTGGTGTCTGGCAGAAAAACTGTTTCTTGGCTCCCATGAGGAGCATAAGAGGTCCTAATGCGGTGGCTGAGAGCCTGTCTTTGAGGCCAGACCTCAGGAAAGCAGAGAACTTGTTTTACACGCTTCACCCAGCTCTGGCTGAAAGCCCATTAATAAGCCCCAGTGCTGAGGGGCAGGTATTGTGTCGGTTACTATGGCATCACCTTGGAAAGGATCACTCAGTGAGAGCCACAGCAGCCGAGTGAGGCAGGAGGGGAATGTGGTCAGAAGCAGCAGGGGAGGCAGGAGACAGGCTGCAGATGCTGTCGCTGGTCTCGGGACACCTCGTGGCTGGAGCCCACTTTAGCTTCTCCAGCTGCAGCCCAGGGAGGGAGCCAGGCTGCGCTCAGACTGAGCGTGGCTGCCTGAGACAGCACCACCGTCTGCTGCTGAAAGGGGCTGAATTTCCAGTCTCAGACCACTTGGCCTCTCCTGTTTTTGGAGGTGGGGTGTTGTCTCATCTTGAAAGATCTGGGCTGGGCTTCTTCTCCTTTTTTATTTTAAGCAGTTACCTTCATGAAAATTGACTGCCAGGTGTTCACCGAGGAAAGCAGAGTGGTCCCCAGGCTGGAGCGGAAAAAGGATGACAGTTTCTGAGACTGAATGGTGACGGCTTGGAGGTATCCCACCCCCAATTCAAAATGCCTTTTAAAGCATTTGATATCTTCAAAGAAAAAATTTTGAAACCTGGAAAGGAAAGAGTGAAGAATGCTGTGGACGATTCATTGGGGATTTTACAAAGGTAAAGTTTGATTGCAAACTTTAGGTTTATTTCTGAGTAGCTTCACATCGCTCGTGTTTAGAGACCTTGCTTCACATTTTAAAAGCCACATTTTGAAAAGGAGTGGGTAGATAAAGTTAGATGGCTTCTGGAGCCCCTTTCAGCTTCAGCAGGCTATGCCTGGAGGAAAAGAAGGTGCATCAAAAATGTAAGATTAAATTAGGAAAATACCAAGACAAGCTTCTGCACATACAGCAGGATTAGCACTTGTTGCAGATGGTAATATTGTATATTGTGTGTTTGGCATTGAATTAGAAAAGACTTAGGGAGATAATATTTCATGTTAATTCAATAGTAATAACAAAATCAGGAACCACTTTATATGGTTATGCTTTGAGCTGAAATAATTTTTAAGAATTTTTCACTTCATTTTTCGCTATATACAAAGATTAGGTATTTGCATATTATGTGGCTTATAAACTATATTAAGTGGTTCTTGATTGTGTAGATTTCAAAAAGAAGGAAATTACAATAGTTTGAAGAAAGTAACTGAAAACATTTGTATTCTTTAAAGCAGAAAATCTTACATGATTCAGTAACTGGGAAAGTGTTAAATATTATCATTGAATTGAATGTTTTTGCCAAACCAAAAAAATAGATCTTTTTTTAAAAAAGTAAGATATATTTTTATTGGAAGAATTTGCCATAAATGAATGAACTGATGACATTTTAATTTGTGATTTTTTTATAGACCATAGTAAATGCCTTCCTAGTTTTGATTAATTAATAAGCAGTCCTTATATGCAAGGTAAAATGACTCCATTAATCTCTCTGATAAATAAATGTGAAAACACCCTTGATAAGATTTTTATGATTATTTATAATCCTGATGAGTGAAAATGCCATCTGGCATCTCCTTTAAAATTTTCTACCTATATTTTCTCTTAAATTTAAGAGAAATTTTTAATTTCTTAAACTAGCATTTAAAGGACTATCTCTAGGCACACTGAAATTGATTTCATTTCTTGTGTTTTATAACGCAGAGGTTCCACTCCTGTCAGTATTAAATTTCCCTTTGTATCACTCTTGATGAGCTTAGCAAGAGGAGTGGGTTGGGCATCTTATTAATTTAGTAATTAAAAACAAAAAGGTTTCCATCAGAACTACACTGATCATGTATAGACAAAAACCCACCTCAGTGACAGTAGGAAAACATAGGAAATGATTACAATAACCTTTTCTTTTAAGAATATTTTATCCTTCTGTCGAGCACTCCCAGGTAACATCTTATCATGGTAGCATTCGTTTGATTAGAAATGCAAAAGAGGGCACAGTGGCTTAATTGGCATATTCAAGTGATGACAAAGGAATCCGACAAAGTCAGAAATAAAAACCATGACTTTGGACCATAGTCGTCACTATCATCACCAAACTCTGTGCCTTCATTTAGAAAATACTCGACAAAAAAGTACTTAGGAGTGTTCTTTTCCAATTTAGATTGCTTTCTAAAAATTAATCCCTTTTTCAATAAGGGACTTACCCTGAGTGCTGGTTTTACTGTGTTTGATCGGATGAGCCACTGGAAGAGCCTTTCATTTACCAGATTGGTTTGCTTAGGGATATAACAAAATTAGTAACTGTCAAGTTATGCGACCTCAACTCAGAATTGAGCTATGGGTCTAGGGCTCTGAACAGTTTCCTCAGAATTGCATCATGGAACAATTAAAAAACAAACAAACAAGCAAAATCTCCAACAACATCTACCACATTTCTGGGGATAGAGATTACACTAAATGCATCCTAGATGTTTTGTCATCATAATTGTAGAATGGCTTTAGAATAAATAAAGCCAAACTCAGACCTCTTCTTTTAGTGATCCCTAGACAGAAATTATAGGCAGAGGAAGGAAAAAAAAAGCCTAATTAACCAGAGATCTAAATTGATCCTCAGCTCTAGTGGTCTCCGAGGAGAGCTCCAGGATTAGGGCTCCTCCAGCAAAAATAGCTCTGCCATGCACTTGGTGTTAACTTCAAGTCCCTAGGATAATTATAAAGTAGCTTCCCCAGAGCCTTTCCTCTCATTGATTTTACATAAAACTAGTTGACAGAATCCAGGAAAGAAAGAAAAGAAAGAAAAGAAAGAAAGAAAGAGAGAAAGAAAGAAGGAAAGAAGGAGAGAAAGAGAGAAAGAAAGAAAGAACTAAGAAAGAAAGAAAGAAAGAAAGAAAGAAAGAAAGAAAGAAAGAAAGAAAGAAAGAAAGAAAGAAAGAGAGGGAGGAAAGAAGGAAAGAGAGGGAGGAAGGAAGGAAGGAAGGAAGGAAAGAGAGGAAGAGAGGAAGAGAGGAAGAAAGGAAGAAAGAAAGAGAGGAAGAGAGGAAGAAAGGAAGAAAGAAAGAAAAACTGTTTTCTGTTTTGTAAGGGGCAGGAACACTGGGAAGTGAGAAACCCCACTCCATAATTTAGCAATCAGTATAAGTCATAGATGTCTAATAATGTTTGAGACTGAGATCGTCATCTAAATGGAATTTTTGAAATGCTTTTTAATCAGAGTGTTCCTCATGGTCAGGGGAGTGGCAAATGCACAGAGAAGCATCTAAAGTTCACACATGGGGCTGATTGCAGTCAGGCGTTATTAGTCTTCCTGGAGAACAGCCATTGAAAAGAAGCAGCCAAACAGTTAGTCAGTTAAAGGTACAATGATATTTTAGAAGTATAGGAAGAAAGATGATGCACTCAGTTCCAGTATTGTTCCAGTACTGGAACAGATGACATAGACGGCGTTACACTTGGAAGTTAATGTCCAAGAATTGATATAGAGATTTGTTAAACTTAAATGACAATATGAATGTCCTCTAATTACTTATGTGTAATAAATGATAATAACAAATATTTAGTGTGTTCCAGGTACTGTAAAATTATTTAATTCTATTAACAATCCAATGAGGTGGGGTCGATTTTACAGATGAAAAAACTGAGGCACAGAGAGGTTAGGTAAATCACCCAAGGTCACACAGCTTGTAAGTAGCAAAGCTGGTTTTCAGATCAGACATTCTCTGCCCACCATTCTTAATCATTGCACTATGCTACCATTCTAATCAAGTCTCTGTTCTTCTTACTTGCTGTCTTGAAATCTAATCACTCATTTAGGTTTTTGGAGTTACCTGGGCTGCAATGTAGCCAGCAACCTCTGCCTCTTAAGGCAAGTATGGGCTTTTATCCTAATCAGTTGTCGTATGGGAGACTTTCTCCAAGGGAGACTGAGGGTGAGTCTGGTCTCTTTATAAGTATTCATATCTCCTCTTTAAAGAGATGGTACCAATCCCCGTACTATGTCCATCCTCAGCATTCAGCAGTTGTGTACAGAACATAGGTCCCAGATATGCACTGTCTGCTCCATTGACAAAAGCAGGTGTGTGAGAATGGGCTCTGAGATCAGGTGGCCCTGGGTTCCAACTGCTGTGACATTATTTAAGACCTCAGGCAACTTGGCTCCACTCCTTGTAGTCAGGGTGATTCTATTAAAACAAAGTCAGATCACATCTCTCCCCTTTTCAAAACCTCCCTACAGTTTTTCATCTCACTCAGAGTTGAAGCCAGTGTCCTTTCAATGGCCTCAAGGCCCCACATAATCCACAGGACCTTGAGAAGTCTCTCTGACTTCATCTCTGACCTTCATTTCCTGCCTCGCCCCACTCCAGCCACACTCTGCTCTTATTAGAGCTCCCTGGACCCACTCCTGTGCCAGCTTTTGCACCCTGAAAGTTTTTTTTCCAAATAGCCTGATGGCTCATCCCCGCAGTTTCTTCAAGTCTCTTTAAAGGTCACCTTCCCAGGGAGGACTTTCTGGACCATCCTATTTAAAGATAAAGCTCACCTTCCCTCCTCCTCCCACCCACTCCATGACCCTCTTCCCTGGTTTATTTTACTCCACCTCTGTCTTAGGTAGGGTTCCTTAAAAGCAGAGCCTGAGTCAGGATTTGGATGAGCCTAGGATGTGATTTATTGAGGGGGAGCTCTCCCTGAAAAAATTGGAAGGGAAGGAGTAAAGCAGGATAGGAAAGGAGAAAACTGAGCAAGGATGTGATCTTGGGTAATGCACAGGGACCAGGTCACAGTGGGAAGCTGTGGGTTGTCCCACTGAGCAAAGGGATCAGCCTTCTATGTCTTTGCATCAGTCAGTCATTGACCGTGGGCTGCCCTAGCAGGGATGGAGGTTTATAATGGAGCCCACGTAGCAGTGGGGAATTCTCCTAAGAAGGGAGCAGTTGCAAACTGTTAGCCTCTCTGGAAGTGTGCTGGCCTGAGAAAAAGGACCTGGGGAGTACATTACATCCCACTCATTGCACCACTCAGATCCACTTGCTTCTCACATTCAGTTCATTCCAAGTGAACAGCTTCTCCAAGACTCTGTGGTCATACTTCCTGAGGAACCTTCAAGAGAAGAGTTGGTGGGATGAACTCCAGCTCCCACTGCTCTGGCTGGTCCCTCCTCTCCACCCATTCTCGATTCCCCTCACTTCTGTTATCTTGCCTGGTGGGCTGATCCAGACTTCAATCCCTGAGGAGTCTAAACCCTCGGTTAACATACCCTTATAGTTATGGTTGCTGTATTTCTGTTAAACTAGACAAGGCAGTATCAGGAAAAGTCGTCGTGAATCACCTGAGTGCTGACATATGTCTTCCTCCTCCTGCGATGAAACAGCAGTTCTAAATCATCCTGGGCATCAGGACCAATTTCTCTCACCAGCGTGGTGACCCCTGGACTTCCCTCTTGGTCTTGGCTTGAGGATCCCAACATGACCGAGCAGCAGTAATAGCCTTATATTTATTGGGATTTCCTTGTATTCCCGAGTGGAAGAATTCTTCCTTGGAAATCAGGACTTCTAGGCCAACAGAGCCTAAAGTTGAGGAGATGAGGCAGTCCTCACCTGGGTTCCTGGGAATGATGGTGAGTGGGGCCACTCCTACTTCCACTCCTCGTTTCTCAGACCCAGGTATTGTACCTGTTGGGGGAAAAGCACC